ATTCGAAATTTTCGCCGATTTCATGTTTAATGCAAATTGTTTCGGATCGTAATTAAATTGCGATTTAATATTCACATCTGTCTGTGTTTGCTTAAGTGGCCGTAACATGTTTTACATAAATTATTCGCTTTAGCATAATTATGATTGTGGCAAAAATTAAACATCATCTCTATTATTCTAGCGATTAAGCCGAGAGATTTGATTTTTCGAGGAAAATACAACAGATGTGCTGCTCGATCGAGATTTTTGTTCGATTCGCTTATGGTTTTCATTGCTTGAAGGGAAAATTGCTGATGAAAGTACCTATTACACACACATCAAACATGATTTATGACTCTTTTCATCGATAAGAGTGAGATTTTTTTCTTCTTCAACTACATGGATCGTCATAATCAAATAATGTTTCTGTGCCGCATGCCTAACAAAATCAATTTTAGCCACCATCTTTTTGGGGCCAAAAATTTATGGCTGTGCATCTTTCAATCTTCTGGATCGTTCAGTGTCTGTTATCTTATGCAATCATTAAAGCTGCTTTTTTTTTCTTCTCCGTTGTCTTATTATTATTTATTGCGAAAAGAGCACAAACAATCGAATTATCACCGGCGGCACTTTCGGTTCAAGCCAACGACAGAGATGAACAGCCAGAGAAAAAAAAACACAAAACGAAATTTGAACGAAGAATAATAATTGCCCGCTTGACTTTTCGTTTTTCATCTTCATGACGCGATATGCACACATTATTCATAACGTTGACTACACTTCCAATTTGCTTCATTTTCTTGACGGTTTTTATTTGAGCCACACACACAACACAAACACAAACGAAAGTTGTGACGACGATGATCGGGTCAAAATGATCTTACGATTTCATCGCTTTCGTTTCGAATCGAAACGGTATTGAAATGAATTACATCAATGGCAAATCGCATAAATCAATCTCTGCGGAAGAGATGACGACATCTGTGTGCCAGTTTACCATGGTCGATTACAGTCGTATTAAATCTAATATATGCGCTGAGATCGATTGGTAGAAATTGATAGAGGTTCAATCGAAACGAATTGAATCGATTCGAAAATAAATCCAATAAAGTAAATGTTATCCGGTGGAATAAAATATTGCAATGGTAATCAGAATCGAAATACTGTCACTTTGAATGGTGTTAGGTTTCGTTGTCATCACGCGTTCACTGAATCACGAGTTCAAAAACAATTAGCTTTCGAACCTGGTCGCATTAACGAATAAACAAGTAATTTTTCACATGCCAATCACTGTGGTTTCATAGGCATATTTTGATCAAATATATTTCAAAACCTTGTCCTCGTTTTTTGTTGTTGTGCTATTCATCGTGTGATAAATCGCAATCCATGAATTAGATGATATATTAAAAAATTAAGCCACAACAGGTTGGAGTGAAAGAAAATACGGTAACAGCAAACCAAAACCGTACACACCTTCTTGTTATTGTTGTTAATATTTTAATCGTTTTGATTGTGGTCGATCAAAAACAAGAAATTAATCGACGTAATATGATACAAAATCGAAAAGCGATTGTGGTTAAACAATTTGCTCTCAAGGAATTTCAGATCCAACCGATAATATGAATTGCCAGTGCACACGGGCTCGGCTCGGTTCAGTTTGGTTGGGTTGCGGCGTCGGCGATGATTGTTAGCGGTACGTCAAAGTTCAAGTGACTACAAGAAAATGTGTTCGATGGTTTTATCACACGTACCCAAGCGAAAGCAGAGACATTTTAATGGATTTCAACAAAAGAATTTATGTTTTCTGTACAACGCTTCGAAATGATGGTACTTTCAGCGCCATTTGTGTTGTTTTGATGGCTGATCACAAACGTTTCCCTTTTTTTCTTCGTATTTTCATGTCGGTTTTTCCTCTCGATTTTTTCGGTTCACCGTGCATTTTGTCGGAATTGTGTTTGGCCCGAGCAAATAGAGGAAATGTTTTCGGTGTAGTTATTCGTTGTGTGCCGACCGAAAGCATCGGTCATTCCATTTATCAGTTGAATGGTGCAAAGTAACATGTGATTGCAGTATTATATGCAGCAGATAAGTTTTTGATCGATGGCATTATATAAAATGAACAGAAAGGTAGACGAAAAAAAAAACGGCATACACACAAAAAACAAAACACTATGAGCTATGTTCGTGCCACAGTTGAAAAGTCTAAGTCAAAAATTGATATTACACCACTCAACGTGCGCTCGGCTTCGTAAACAAATAGTGCGGTTGTTGATTTTGTTTTTCTTCTGCTTTGCTTTGCATATACAGGAAACATGAGTAATTGAACCGTATGATCTTTTAATCTGAATAGATCACGGTGAATAAACTTCAAACGGCGATTCGAGCGATACATTTGGGAGCTGCATGAATATGTTTGTATGTGTATGTGTGTGTGTGTTTATATGCAAATCCAATAACAGCGATGACACTCGAACTTCAACTGCAATGCCAAACACCGTGAAATAGAAAGCAAGAAAGTAAAACATTTTCATCCGTATGGAATACACACACATGCACACGGGCGCAACGACAACAACACAGTGTTGCGGGCTCATAACTGTTATTGTTGTATTACCGCATGATTATTCAGTTATTTTTTCTCTCTCATTTTTTTTCTATTGGTTTGACGCGGTCGGAGCTGCAGCTGCTATTGTTGTTACTCTTTTTTCTCTCTCTTCCTCTCTCTCTCTCTTTCTCTCTCTCTCTCTCTCTCTCTCTCTCTCTCTCTCTCTCTCTCTCT